TCGGCTACATGTGAAACGATACATAGAAAGCAATTATTTCTCATCAGCCCAGGGCTTACTGACACCAATATCACGGGGATATACGCGGGTTTGACGTGGACCTTCATCAGGATTTATAATGTATTTGGTAGACCCGTGAGACGTATCGCGTTGAGAACACATTCTGCAGCTCAAAATAAAAACAACTTGATAATGGTCTTTAGTGATTCGAAAATTCATATAAACGAGTTTTTCAAACCGAACTTCGGTACTAGCTAGCGAAGTTTATAAAGGGGTTTGTAAAAACGAATTTGGATGCCAAAAATAACGATTATCGCGGACGAAGTCGCTGGCACAGCTTCTATATAATATATTTAATAAAGTTTGGTCTGTATGCTATTTTTAATTATACAGAACATTGAAATAATGTAGATTTGTGAATAAGAACTACGTCTAAATTATTCCTTTCATCAACGCATCGTGAACTTTAATATCTATATACATACTAGCTTGAGCCGGCAAACGTTGTTTTGCCATATAAATAATTTTACTAAAATGTCTATTAAAAAATAAGGGTTGATCGTAGAAGGGTGAAAATTGAGGATTGTATGTATTTTTGTATGTTGTATCATAAAAAAATAGAAATTAAAATTTTTGTCTAAAAAATAAAATAAAAAATTTAAGGGTGAACAACCCTTATCACTTAGGGGGATGAAAAATAGATGTTGTCCTATTCTCAGACCTACTGCACATATACTACTACACATATAAAATTTGGTGAAAATCGGTAGAGCCGTTTCGGAGGAGTTCAAGTTCGAACACCGTGACACGAGAATTTTATATATTAGATATCCTTCTAACTTTAGTAAATATTCCAGCGTAATATATTTAATAAATACGTAATTTTAAGCAATTTACTAACTACGGTTCAAATTTACTGAATTAATTAAGACGTTTCTTTATTGATAACGGTCATAAGAATAATAATTGTACAATAGATAGTAATTAAACATTTTATGGCTATAATTATTTTGAAAGTGGTCTTAACGAAGTAATTTGGGTGCTTTAGTTTGCAAGTAGAAATCAAGGGCACGAGACATTCGGATAATTGTGCGTTCGCTTGATCTAGGTTCGGATGACGACGTAACGCATGTAAACAGTAGGGAGAAACAATTCAATATTGAACGCGCTTATTACTGAATTTTAGCTGAATTTAGCTTTAAATATGTGATGGTGGCACCTTTTAACAATCTAACGCTGAACTTAACTGACAAATTGCGTCTACTCAATTTAAACAATACCAATGAAGCCAGAACTCGATCATTGTTAAATTTTAATATTATCTATTTATAGTTTGATGTTCTCTACTAACACATGGTAACACGTAGAGTACGATAAAAAAAAAACAATTTCTCTTAAGAAACAAACATATATATAATTGTTTATGAGAGAAGAGGTTTCAACTAATAATAATATAATATTTCAAATATTCCAAATCACACAGACTGAAAACGAAACGCTGACTTAACTAAAACCATTTCAGTGTTTGAAACACGAAAAATTACTTACATACAACACTTTTACCAGTTTATGCGAAATTAATAAACGATTAGTAACTTATTTTTAATACCAATATACTTCGCGTTTTTAACATTTAAAAGTATTTTATGTAAATGTTTACTCTTGCAGTAAATTGCAGACAAAACTGAAAACCATTTTAATATATAGCAGCATAGATTTACCTTTGAGCTTCGCGAGTGGTACACATTTAATTAAAACACTTAAACGGTTTAAAACGCGATATATTTTAGTTAAACTTGTTTGAAAATTATTTTTAACTACGGCCCGACGTTTCGGGTGCTTTGCAGCAGCCGTGGTCAAAGTCTCCCCGTGACCACGGCTGCGTTTTAAACGTTAAAGTGTTTTATTTAAATACCTTTGAGTTATTGAGCAATAAACTCTCCGTGCATTTAAAATGTGTATTAACGAGTTTCACCTCGTGTGATGGTCCGATAAGCAAAGACGTTTAGATAAGCCTTTGAACGAAACAAATCGAGTTATTTACTCCAAGTTCGCTATCAGAGGGGATTCTGCGTGAATTTTTAATGTCCTTGAGTCTTGAGTTGCGTGTCGTGAATTTTTAAGATATCACCCCGTTAATTTAAGGGCTTTTTACAACGCAGGGTTAAGATGTTTCAGACGTTGGCTTATATCAAGATAGAAAAGATATAATTGTGATAGTCCGTAGTTTACGCGAGTAACGCACATTTAAATATAACACTCTTAACGGTTTAAAACGTAGAATATATTAGTTAACTTAATAATTTCTCGATTTAAACTGTAAGAAGTGTTTTATTTAGCAAATTCTGATTATATTATTTTTATGACAGTGGAGGAAAGACAAGCATGATCAACTTGGTGGAAGCTGAAACACCTCCAGTCAAATAAAGATGCGCTATCGACCTTTAAATTTAAGGAAGATGGTTTATGACTCAGACGGAATTTAGAGATTCCTTCCACCAATTTAATATTTTTAGACGAAGTCAAATACAGCATATCATTCTCTTTCCGGCTGTCCGGCCGATGTGAGCTCGAAGAATTAAACAATCGAGGAGTTAACATCTCCTGGTGATGCCGTCCACTCATGATGGCGAAACGTCGAGAACCTCTTCTCGCTCACATCGGCTGAACAGCCCGAAAGACAATGATATGCTGAACGATGGCCGTGAAAGCCTTACACAGAAGTCAAATACGTTTCAGAAAAATTTAAAGTTGTAAAACATGTTGGATCGGCTAAGAATCGAACTAATGACTCCGTCTTAAATGCCATGAAGAGATATAGAACAGTACCATGAAGTTAAGACTACTTACATATAATGCAGACACGTTTGTCTTTTAGTTTTCAAATGTAAATACGTACGTATATTCTATATAGTACTTTCATAATTTGACCATATGTAACTTGCATTACCTGAAACAAAAACATACATACATTAGTCACTGAAGAAAAGAAACATTATTGAAGTTATTATTAGGTCGTCATATGTACAAACACAAACAAAACACCTTAACGGTTGAAAACGCGAAATATACCACTCAACTTATATACATTATTTTATTATTTACGACCCCATTTTCCGGATAGAACGGGGCTATAGGCCATGAGAGCGGATGTTTTTAAAGGTATATTAACAATAGTTTTGTGGTTTGACTTTTAGTACTAATTAATATTTATTTATTAAAAACCAATCACACACCCCTACAGAATAACAATTCCAACATGATAGTGAGTTACAATTAAACATTTAAATAAAATCATATTACATATAACACTACTGCATATACGTTATAGTCTTTATAAACTCATTCACTGTACAATTAAAAATGTCTATTATATATATTTAGACAATAATAATACATTTGTCCTAATACGATAGAACATTATATATATTTTTCTGAAATATCTTGAACTTTGTTGATATCGAAATTTTTGGTCCGAGTCACGAATCACACCATCCCTAGATGAAAAATCCCTGAAGTTTAAACACGTTCCGGTTTTACTCTGCGATTTCCGATCAACCAAAGCCAAAATATTTATGGCAACTCTCCTTTTTTTTATTTTGTAACGTGTGTCTAAGAGTTTACCATTAGATAAAACGGCTCTTAAAGTACGCAGAGTTAGGCAAAAGGGTGATCGTAAGAACTTGTGTAGTTAAAAAAAAAAACTAATTACAGAAATGTTGGACCTGATGGGGATCAAACCCACTTGTTGTATTAGCCATAAATAGATAGCACTGAACTTACAACAATTCGGTGATTCAAGCCAAGGCCGATGCCCCTTTCGGGGACTAGCCAAGGCCAACATACAAATAATCATTATAAACAACAGTTGTAAGAAGTAAAACGGACCCATTTTTTTCCTTTGGGAACCCTAATAAGGCATTTGGTAATTTTATAACGGTTGAGGCACTCTAAAATATATTTTCTCAGTTTGACGGGCGAGTAAATAAACCCGACCTTATACTAATTGAAAATTTTAGGTCTTGTTTTACGTGCAATTAGCAGACGAAATTCGTAACTCTGTAAGGAAAGATGTTATTCATGTCTTTGTTTCTAGGTAGCTTACGCAAGATTGTAGATCTTATTATAGTCTGTACCGCAGTGAGTGTACATTTGAATACAACACTTTAAACGGTTTAAAACGCGTAATAAATAAGTTATCAGATTTCATTTGACTATGATTCGACGTTTCGAAAGCTTTGAAGCAGTCGTGTTAGTAGATGTTCAGGGTTTCTTTACATAAATAACTCTACTATATTTCACGTTTAAACCGTTGAATATGCGATTTGAAAACTTTTAGTCGATGGGGCAGATTAGATATTATATAGCACAAAACCTCTTTTAATAAATTTTAGATTGAAAGGGGACTTAGGCGAGCCTCAAACTCACGATTAAAGATAAAGAAGCCGTGGCTAAGCTATATGCGTTCCAACGGGAGAAAACGTCGAGAACCATTTCTTATTACAATGGCCGTACAACATAAAAACTTTGATATCGTTCTTAAATCTACCCGCTTTTTGTCATGTCCTGGAATTAGTAACCTGTTTGTCAATTAATTAAATATTCTTGCAATTTGTGGCTCATAAGTCTTCTAGGTGATTCCCTAATTAAATCTTAATAAGGTATTTCGTAATCGATTCTTAATGAAGCCATTTTCACTAACGTTGATAGATTCCATGATAATATAAAAGAGAGCATTGTCCGTCAAAGTTCTATTGATCACGAATTCCCGTCCAAGACACAACATGAGGCTCATTGTAAGTATTTTTAACAAATATCGAGTTTAAATAAAACACTTTAACGGTTTAAAACGCGAAACATATTAGTAAAACTTATTAAAAATGATTTGTTTTTTTGTAAACTTGCTTTTACATGCAAAAACTAACAGTTAACGGGTGTTTAACCATTTTCTTCAATTTCAGATTGCGACCGTATTATCTTGCGCTGTGGCGTTAAACGCCATGCCCCTATTTGTACCCGGCGGTGGTATGGGCATGAGTGGTGCAGCTGGCATAGGCATGGGCGGTGCAGCTGGCATAGGTATGGGCGGTGCGGCTGGTATAGGCATTGGAGGCGCAGCTGGCCTTGGGATGGGTGGTGCTGCAGGTCTAGGAATGGGAGGAGCAGCTGGTCTAGGAATGGGTGGTGCTGCAGGTCTAGGAATGGGTGGTGCTGCAGGTCTAGGAATGGGTGGCGCAGCTGGTCTAGGAATGGGCGGTGCTGCTGGTCTAGGAATGGGGGGAGCGGCAGGATTAGGTATGGGCGGTGCAGCGGGATTAGGTATGGGCGGTGCGGCAGGATTAGGTATGGGCGGGGCAGCTGGATTAGGTATGGGTGGTGCAGCAGGTTTAGGAATGGAAGGTGCAGCAGGTTTAGGAATGGAAGGTGGAGCTGGTTTAGGCATGGAAGGTGCCGCTGGTTTAGGAATGGGTGGTGCTGCTGGGTTAGGTATGGGTGGTGTAGGAGCTCTCGGTGAAAGTGAGGGTGGATACGCCAACGGAGCTAACTATGGTGGTCAAAGGGGAGCCGCTGGTGCGTCAGGACTCGGAAGCCAAGTTACACAGCAAGCTGGTGCTGGTGGTTTCCATAACATCGGATCTCATCATTCCAGCCAAACCTCAGTGAGTGTTTATTTATTGATTTATTTAATAAGGCTTTCTAACTAGATACACAAACATGTTTTAAACTACTTAAGCTAATTATAGTAAGAATAATTCTTATGTACCTAAAAAGTTAATTTAGTAATTTCTCTATAGAACTAAATATTAAATTATGAACAAAATTACAATTTGAATCTTTTCCTCCTAGGCAACGCACGTAGAGAACGACGAAAGCCACAACATTGGTGCAGGTTCTGGATTCAACACCGGCGCGCAAGCTGGTGGTGGATATGGTAGATACCAGAACGGTGCTGGACAGTACGGAAACCAATTCGGACAAGGCGGACAAGTCTCTAGGGACGTGTTGATCTAAAAAGTTGTCTACATAATAAATCATTTTATAAAAACTCTGGTGTTTTTATCCTTTCGTATCTAGGAATTATCTTCTATTAAAATCCAGAAGAAAATCACAATATGAAAATATACAATAAAACAAACAATTAAAAAATAAAAGGATTAATAGTCGTATGAAGCGTTAATTTCAAGTCATAAGATTATGTTATTCTGAAATATTGTTTCAGTTTTGCTAATAAAAGTATGAAATCGACACTATATAAATACATATATTAAGATAAAATTTTATAGGTTTTTTTCAAGATCAGTTAATTTCAATTTAATTAAATACTTTAAACGGTTTAAAACGCGAAGTATAATAGTTTATTTTTTTAAATTAATTTTAACTACATCCCGAAGTTTTGATAAGGTCACCTAAGAGTTTTGAATTTAATATTAGTCACTATTATCCTTCCCCCGTTGCCATAACTGCTAAAGCTTCCGAAACGTTGGTTCCGAAATTAAAATAAATTGTAAATATCTCAATTAGTAGAGTAACAGCACGGAACGCTGACGATGCCAGTTCAAGTCCTGCCCGAGTCGAAATTTTTTTCAATTTAATTTTGGTTTTAAAATTAAATTGTAGATAAGTAAATAAATCTATTTCGCATTGTATTCCATAAAAGATTTTTATTTCATAAACTACAGGCAATACCTAGTTTACACCTCATCCATCCTAAGAGTACATATTATTGTAATTTTTTTTACAAAATGTGTGTTCGTACAAAGAAGCATTTATTACCCATTCGTTATTTACAATATAATTGAAAAAGTTAACGACTTAAAAATCGAAAATAAATTGAAAACGAAAATGTTTTCAATTTATTACACTCGGGTAGGACTTGAACCGGCATCGTCAGCGTTCCGTGCTGTTGCTCTACCAATTGAGCTACCGAGTCCTACCTATATAGCCATCATGTGCAATAACATGTAAAAAATTATAAAGTTTTTAAAAGTTAACGATACTATACTGTACATACACACTTCAACTAGATTCAGTTACATTAAGATTTTTTTTTATTTACTACATTTTATCAATCCTTCTGTTATATCCACGTTAGTTTTTAGTAATCTGTCTATAGTTTACGCGAGTAGTACACATTTAAATAAAACACTTTAACGGTTTAAAACGCGATATTTTAGTTGAACTTATTTGAAAATGATTTTAAGCCGTGGTCGCTCGTAAGCTCGTAACCACGGCTGCTGCAAAGCTGCCGAAACGTCGGGCCAAAGTTAAGAAAATCATTGGCAAATAAGTTTAACTAATATATCGCGTTTTAAACCGTTAAAATGTTTTATTTAAACATAGTAAAGTTATTATTATTTAACGCATTATTTTTTGAAGGTTGTAGAGAAAAGTTGATAAAAGGTGGTAAACATTTTAAATACGAGCCCGTAATTCAAACTCCGGAATTACATCTTCACAAATTTCTTACTCTGCAAATCATAAGACATTGAACTTTAGCAAGGAAGCCTTAGGGTAGAAATTACATACGCGAGAGGTGCATGTGTCAGTGAGTTGAAGGAAATCTACGATGACTTGTAGGTAGCTCAATTGGTTAGAGCATCAGCACGGAACGCTGCGGATGCCGGTTCGAATCCCGATCGTAATTTTTTTCAATCTAACTAGGTTATTAGTTTAAGATACATTATTTACACCTAATAATAATAATTGTTATTACATCTGGTAAATCCGAAGTCTTATCATAAAATTGTTTTTTAATAGTGCATCATATAAAAGCGATCAACTATCGATATTTTTACATATATAGTACAGGGCCTCCTTAGTCCTATATTCAGTAACAGGGGAAAGTTGAAACCACGATCATGAAGTGCATTGTAAGTATTATTTTTTTTAATTTACGCTAATATTATAAACCTAGAGTTTGTTTGTTTGAGGAACCTCGAATTGATGTTATTTTGTGTTGGCTAGCATTTATAGAGGAATTAAGGCTATTATATATAAACATAACACTGCAAACAATAGGAGTGAAAAAACAGGAAAAAACGGGGAAATATATTGATCTTTGGGGGATTTTGTTACGTGCGCTGCGAAAACGGTTGGGTATTTTTCCCGAAAATGTGTATGAGAAATAATTCTTCTTTAAATGATCTAGGGATAAAGTAGGTTAGGTCTTTCATTTTATTTACTAATTTCATGAGACAATTATTTAATTATTGTTAAAGTTTTGTAAATATGTATTTGAATTGATAGCAGTAAAAATGTGTAGAGCACAGCAAGCTGATTGATAAAATAATATAAAAAAATAAAAAATAAAATAGCAATGGATAACTATAACCAATCATTAAGAGAAACTTTATGTTTGTCTGTCTTGGTGTCATATTTTTTTTATAATTTTCAAGTCATTCGATGTATCGTTTAAGATCCTACTTCTTGCCTGCGTGGCATCCATCAAAGCACAGCCATTTTTCGGTCCCGGAGGTTTCTTGGGTTTGGGATTGGGAAGAATGGGTGGACTGGGATACCTAAATGGTGGAGGATATGGGGGAGGATTGTATAACAGTGGAGCCAGCGGTCTGTCCAACGGCGGGTTTGGATCTTCAGGAGTGGGAGGCTACCACAACATTGGTGGTCATCACAGCAGCCAGACTTCTGTGAGTATTCTTAAAAAATATTTTAATCTCTGATAGTATTGTTTTGTTTATTTAGCCTGTTTTTATAATGACTAAATAAGATGTCAAAGTCTGCAAATATAGGACACAGGCAGGACTTTAAAATTCGCGTGTTAAGGTTGATTTTGCATTGCGCGTGAGGTGCATGTTGAAACAATTCGACGATGACGTGTATTACTCGATAGCTCAATTGGTTAGAGCAACATCGTAAATTTTTTTTCAATCTAAATTCGATTATTAATATATATAGTGCCATCATATGCAATAACATGTGAAAATATTAAAGTTTTCGATTCTAAGCCACGTTTAACGGTTTTAAACGCGTAATATATTAGCTGTGTTCCCGTGAAAACTGCTGCTGTACCTAAGTATAGCATCCGAAATAGTGAATCTAAATATAAATACGTTTTGTGTTTTTAACTGTTAATTTTTTTTTTATATAACAAGCAAAGTTTGTGTTGTATGTCATTTTGAAGGCAATTTTTATAAGTAATCATGTTTTATTATCCTAGATCAATCGCGCTTCAAACACTGGTTTCCATAACATTGGCGGTGGCCAAGGATACCAAAATGGCGGATACTTGGGCAACGGATTTGACAATTATGCAAATGGTGCTGGTGGATACGGAAACGGCTTCGGAGAGGGGGGGGAAAACGAGGGGTTATTACTCTAAGTGTAATACAAGTAATTAATAAAATTGTTTCGTATTGATCTTCTTGTTTGACATTTAAAGGATCCTATTAAGGTTTTGCTTTACAATTTTATAATAAATTAAACTTGTATACATTTTTATTGGATTATTAATAAATTTATTGTTACAATAAAGTAAGACAGGCAAATAAGCAAAAGGCAAATTTCAAGTTTACGCGAGTAATACACATTTAATAAAACACTTTAACGGTTTAAAACGCATATATTAGTTAAACTTATTTGAAAATGATTTTTAACTTCGGCCCGACGTTTCGGATGCTTTGCAGCAGCCGTGACCCGGCTTTAAAAGCATAAATGCAGTTATGTGATGTAGAAAGATTTTTCGCTGAAACAATTACTATTAGATACTGTCTATAGTTTACGCGAGTAGTACAAATTTAAATAAAACACTTTAACGGTTTAAAACGCGATATAATGCTGCTGCAAAGCATCCGAAACGTCGGGGCAAAGTTAAAAATCATTTTCAAATAAGTTTAACTAATATATCGCGTTTTTACTGTTAATATATTACTTATATTAACAGTAAAATTTTTTTTATAGTACACATGTTACACTTCGTTCTTAAACATTGCAATTATTCGATTTAAAATTTGTAGTCTACGTGAGTAAACACAAATTTTACGATAAAACGGTTAAAAACGGTAAAATTTATTTTAATTACGGAATACTTTGCCGTCGGAAGTAGGTGTGGTAATAAAATAAAAATAAATGTATTAATATGTTATTTCAAAGTCCCCCCGTGACCACGGTTACTGCAAAGCATACCTACTCCGGGCTGTAGGTAAAATAAATTCTAAATAAGTTATCTCATTCATTTCGCGTTTTTAACGGTTAAATGTATCTAAATGTGTTCAACTCGCGTAAGCTACAGACAATACTTAGTGTCTTTTTAATAATCAACTATAGTTACAGGCACATAGTTCTGTGCCTAGCTCGATCGAAACGACTTCCAGCTTCCCTGGGATTCGAATTCATCTCCTCTGGTGCTTATCGTGATGCTAAGCAATTCCTTTAACCATTGAGCTGTGGAGGCAGACAAACTCTCTTGAATATATGAAATTTATTTACACCCAAAGTATATTATTTGACTACGCATTTATTTTTTTACTCATTGTTCGAATAATCACAAACTACCAAAAGACTGACTTATTTTTACGTCGGCTTTCAAGTGCTTTGAGGCCCTGGAGTGTTAATTACAGTCGCAGGCTCTCTTGTAAAATATCACTAAATGAAAAGCGCGAATTGTGTACGGGGAAAGTCTCTTGTTTTTAAATGAAAGCTGCACCCGAAAAGCGACCGTATTGCAAAATGGTAAGGCGTATAATGTTTTACACTTCATCTTTTGAAAGTGTTCACAGATCACATAAATAGAACTTAAGTGAAGAGCGTTCCTGTCCTTGTCTGTAGTGACGTCGCAAAATTTGTATATTTTTACATTTTTTAAACAGCGAGTTACAAATATTGAACTAAGCACTTGTATTAAAAACAAAAAAATGATTCTTACTTAACGAAAACATAAAGAAAAGGGTAATTTTAACAATATTTTAAACCAGTAATAACGCATTTAAATGAAACATTGTAAACAGTTTAAAACGCGAACTATATTATAAAACCATGGTCACCGGGGCACCTCTCCCCCCCTAAACGTCGGGCATAAGTTAAATGGATTGTAAATGAGTTTACTAATATATTTCGCGTTTTGAACAGTTGATAATGTTTTATTTAAACATTTACTAAATGTTTTTTAGTTTTTATAATGTTTTAGTATTTGTTAATATATTGGTTACAAATATAAACAATTTGTGAAAAATATAATAAACAAAGTCTAGATAAAGAGATATATAATGAAATGTATATATATATGTTTATTTTTTTAAATAAAAAATCTATTTATACTGAAAGAAATTTACAGGTTCTGCTATAAGATCAGATTAGCAGCACGGAACGCTGTGGATGTCGGTTCGAGTCCCGCCAGTGTCGTAACTTTTTAAATCTAAAGAGATTTTTAATTTGTGTGCAAACATATGATAATATTTAAGTTTTCAAAGATATATTATTAATTATTTGACATTTATTCATCATTTAACGTCTATAACTTAACTAATAACATCTATTATTTGTTAAGTATATAAATGATAAATGCAATCGTAAGAGATTAAAGCGATTTCGGTTTTTCCCTCAAATGAGAAAAAATATTAAGATAAATCTTAATTATTATATAGTTTACTAAATTCATAATTCAATAAAAGGCGAACAGTTTTGATAATAACTCAATTAGACGGACAACGCCCGCTTCAGACGTAGAGCAAGATGAAATTATTAATTGTAAGTGTATTTTCTTCGGCAACCGTATTTCCTTTAAATAAAACACTTAAAACTGCTTAAAACGCGATAACTATAATAATAGTTAAACTCATTAGAAAAAAAAAGCAAAGCATCCGAAACGTCGGGCCGTAGTATGAATAATTTGCAAATCAGTTTAAATAATATATATCGCGTTTTAAACCGTTATAGTGTTTAATTTAAATTGGGATTTAACACTTTTGAACGATTTTACAAACTTGTTGGACCTAACCTGGTCTAAATCGAACCTTTGTTCCGTTGGTTTGTCATAATTCTAGCCAACTTATTTAGCCAACCTTGGGTATAGGTATAAAGCTTTCGTTCCAGGTGTTGACAGTACTCAGCTGCATAGCTACTTTGAAGGCTCAACCTTTTATGGGGTCCCTTGGAGCTGACTTAGGAGCTAATATTGGTGCAGAGATAGGAGCTGGTGTATCCAACATTATACGGTCCAGTATGAATATGGCTCTAAATGGTGTCGGTGCCATGAACACAGGTCTTCTAGATGCAGAAGATGGTGTTGGGTATGGGATTAATGGTGGGTTGGAAAATGGTTTAGGGTTTGGGATGGGACGAAGTGGGTTAGGAATGGGTGTGGATGATTATGACGCGGGCCTTGAAGATGGTGATATTATATAAGCTCAATTACCAAATAATACCTTTGTGAAAATATTTGATAAGATTTAAATAAACTATCTTAAATGTTTTCTACAGTTTTATTTGAAACATTATCAAACTTAGATGAGACGGTCTCGTTGGTCTAATGGCAATGTGTGGAATCAAGTCAATTTTTCTGAAACATGTTGGACTCCATCTGGAAATCTGGATAAATGGGTGGTAGGAATATGGAAATACTGTCCACAGATGAAAAGCAGTGAAATTTCATCGTGTTTCAGTTTCAATCTGTGGATTTCCGATTATCCAAATCTACAATGGGTCGACAGCAGATCTTGTTGAGATGATAGCTGGGGTATTTCACCTCAATTGAACTCAAGTGAAAACCATGCTTGTCTGTACATGATTGAAAGTGACAACAATATAAAATGTATTTGTACCCTTTTAATAGTTTGAAACCAAGGTATTGCATACAATATCCATCGTGGTCCATTATGATCCATCTTGCGTCCACTTGCAGCTTGGTAGCATTATTGATTCTCAAAGAACTTTTGGAGTTGTGCTTGACTTAACTATAGCCTATGACAGTAGTTTTAAAACTGAACTATCATAATCTATTAAATAACTATTACAAAATAATTCCCTTTGACTTTCTATCTTTTGTGTTTTTAGACTTTGATAGACTAAATCAATTCAAACGTTATGAAACACTTGCTAGGTCCTTAAGCTTTGGATCCTGTTACCGAAAATTAAAACAAGAAATAGGTGGCGTTTTAATCCGTTAAGTGTGTTATTTAATGTAGATAAATTTCCACTCGCGTTAACTTCAGATACATACATATATATACCTATAACTTTGTACTGATTAGAACTGATAGGTAAAATAAAAGAATTTAAGGTAGGTATATAGGCAATTCCTTCTGTATTGTAAACACTTCTATACAACCTTTTACATGTCCTTATATGGATTATAAAATATTATAAAAATGGCATTTAATAACAATAATATTCTTGATTTCTGAAAAGCGTTATTAGCTTACATTATTTGAATAAAACTGTTTTAACGGTTTAACGCGTAATATATTAGTTAACTTATCCTTAGTTAATTTTAACTATGGCTCGACGTGGCCCCCGTGACCACGTTTGCTGCATAATATCTGAAACGTATGTGTATGTAACGATATTTTTTTGTAAGAAATATTCTATTATCCTCAATGTGTAACGTATTGCCTGGCATTACATTGATCACGAGCAGTCCAAGGTTCGAATCCCGGGAAAATGATAATTTGTTTTAAAGTACAGTACAGAAATTCAATTAACTAACATATACACACAATATGAAATTATCCAGTGAAACGGACATAGAAAAATGTTCGCCCCTTGCCTCAGAAGCGGGGCATGGTTCCAATTTAAACATTTTGTTTAATTATTTTTGTGCTCAACGATAAATACACTAATATCTTTTTAGAAATCGACGCTATCCTTTACAAACGATTAAAACAAAATAAACAATCTGTTTTTAATGAGAGTTTTATAATAGCGTTGTCTATAAAGGTAAATAAATCGAGATATTAACATCAATCAAATCTTGAAATTCTGTGGAGCAGCGTTACGAGTTAACGAGTACGTTGGAAGCACGTAAAATGCGGTGGATTGTAAGTTACTTGTCTTAATTTTTAATTCAAGCAGTTAATTTAGACTTTTAAACATGTATTCTAGTCTACAGTTTTCAAGAAATTTTTACTTATTTATAATTTATTTTAAATGCAGCCCGACGTTTCTAATGCTTTGCAGTAGCCGGAGTCACGTCGGGCCGTAGTTAAAATAAATAAATTATAAGTTAACTAATATATTTCGCTTTTAAATAGTTAGTACAGCCGTATAATTTAACGTCGAGACGTAGCCAATATAAATTACATATAAGTTCACTAATATATTTCGCGTTTTAAACACATTAAACTACGGCGGTATAGTTAAACGTCGGGTCCTTGATAATAAATAGGTTTATTAATTCGCGTTTTAAAGCGGTAAAAATGTTTTATTTGAATACATCTTTAATCAATAAAATTTTTGTTTCAATTTAAGGCCAATTCCCTCTCTGGAGCTGGAAAAGAACTCGTTAATAAACAACAAAAAGCTATTATCCATCTAATCTCTAATGTCCATCGTGGCCCGGAAAACTAAGTATTATGAGCATTTTATTAAGTTCGTCTATGGTTTCTAGGTGCTGGCAATCATTCTTTGCGTCGCAGTGATCGAGATAGATTCGTTTCGGATATACAGGCGGCCGTTTATAAGACGGCGGTGGCCGATAGGAAGACATTATGGCGGTTCAGACGTTGGTAGCAAGTACGCGAGGGGAAGGCGTTACCACAACACCGCGTATGACAATGGGGCGAGGGGCGCGGAAGGTGGTAACTACCACAACGCTGGTACCCACGAGTTCCACAACATTGGACAGCATCACAATAAATACACCAAGGTAATACTCGTCTTACGTGTAGGTAGGGAGTTCAGTTCCCGGCTACATTTAAATAAAATACTTTAATGATTTACAAGACCTGCTGTTAAGCATCCGAAACGTCGAGCCCTAGTTAAAATATTTCCCAAATAAGTTTAACAAATATATGTATATCGCGTTTTAAACGGTTAAAATTGTATATTAGGGTTTATAAGATTTTCAATGGTTTCATGCTCAAAGAGTAACGTTAGCGTACGATAAACGCTAAAAGCTCCGTAGTTGTTTATTTCGCGTTTTAAACCGTTAAACTTGTTTATTCAAATGCATGTTAAAAAAATTAGGTTAGTTCGGTGGAATTAAAGCTTTAAGACTGCGACGCTATTATCTGTAGGTATACATAAGTACTTACTACGAACGCTCTTGGTTTAAAATGTTTTATTATTTCGTTTAAATACATTTAAAAATTGTGTTTTCAAATGCAATAATAGTATAAGTAACATCGTTCTTAATTTTCTATGCATAACAGTTGTCACATTGACAGTTGACACTAATTAAAGATCCAAGATGATCCAGCAAATGTTTTGTTGTTCGCAAGACTAATATTATTATGTTGATACAACTCTAACTAATAACTGATAATCCATTTTTTCAATCACCATAAATTGTTTATTCTAGATGATCATAAGCGATAGACATTATTCCGGACTTTTTTTAGATCAAAGGAGAATCAATCTTTCAGACATACTTTTTGGTTTCTTGAACCGTTCACGCAACGGAATGCCTCAAAGATGAATTATTAATAAATAATATTTTTACTTGCAGATAGAGAAATCAGAAAACTCTGGAAGTCACAACATTGGAGGCTCAGACTCCTACGACAACGGCGGGGCTTTCGGAAGGAATTTCGCGAACCATAATACCGGTCTCAACCAGTATGGCAGCGACTATGACCAAGGTCAAGACCATGCTACTACGTGGTAGATCGTGTTAAAAATACAGTAGACTCTCACTAATCCGGCACTTCAATACACCGATATATTCAGTAATCCGGCACATTTCACTCTAGAAAAACTATAGTCACCTCGTAATTTTTTTTAAACTTAAGTTTAAAAAAAAATCGTACGTACAGATTTACCGCAAAATTTACTACGTTAATTAAATCAAACATTTTTGAACGGTTCAAAATGAGAAATGTATCAACTTATTTACAATTTGTTTTGACTATGGTCTGACGTTTCGGATGCTTCGTAGCAGTCGCGGACGACACAGCCTACAATGCATCAAAAACCTCGGGTCATAGTGAAAATAAATTGTAAATAAGTTAACGATTTCTCGGTTTAAACCGTTAAGTGTTGGTGTTATTTTAATGCACAGTACTAGCGTAAACTCAGAAATTCACTGAAATATCTTTGTTAAATACTGTATTTTGTTTAAATATTATGATTAAAATTTAAAATCTATTTAGATTAAAAAAAACGACACGGGCAGGACTTGAACCGGCATCCACAGCTTTCCGTGCTACTACTCTAACCACACGAAACATAATCACAGAAACTTCTGACACGGTAGCTCAATTGGTTAGAGCAGCAGCACGGATCGCCAGATGCCGGTTCAAGACCCGCCCTGGTTCTTCTTCTATCTAAGTAGATTTTTAATTTGAATAATGCCATCGGGTAAAATAATATTAAAGTTTAAAAAATATATGTTTCTTCTACACAATCCTGTAATCCGTACATGTAGCTATCCGAATACTCTGGTCTGTGCCGGATTAGTGAGATAATACTGTACTTACTGGTTATTATAATTAAAGATTAGATCAGTAATAGTGTAACGTAGAACGATGTTTAAATTTGATATATTTAGACACGAAAGGAAATAAAAGCTACAACGACCATATACTGTTTTCTTTTAAAGCCTACTAAATATGTGTATACAATTTTATAAAGCCCCTTGGAAGAGTGGTAAAAAAAAGTAAAAATTATTAAAAAAATCAACAACCGACTAGTAATTTTATATTATTTATTATAAGTGTAGTTTTTCTAAACAATAACTTAGCACCGAATTCAAAGTTATGTTAAGAAGAAAAATATTCTTACAATAATTTTTATCAGTGATGCGCCGAATAAATAACACTTTTGCCGAGTAACGAGTACCGAGTTTTACTCGGTTCATGTTCTTTTCAACCGAGTACTCAGCCGAGTAACTCGGTTCAATCAAATTTACACTTTGCGCGCATAAACAAGTACAAACAGGTTCACACCGGTCAAGACGTCGGCTCGCTCTCATCTTCTCGTAGTTTTGTCTCATTGCTGCTCATTCATTAGCATAGTTTTGAATTTATTAATTGAAATTTGAAAGATTTATTAAATATCTGAATTACCTTTGCTATTGCTTTGATTATATCTACCTCAATATGTTGTTGTTATAAACAAAGTATACTCGTTATCAAATAACAAAGTATAATCGAGTTATTCGGCCGAGTACGAGTATCAAAAAACCCGCCCAGTACCGAGTATCAACTGAATTCTCGGCCCATCTCTAATTTTTATTGAACAACATAATAAGTTTTTTTTTTTAATGAAAAATAAGTACTTTTTTTTGCAAAGATTAATAATGATTATTATTTTTTTTATTTATTATGTATGTTATAACCATCAATCTTGCACTTAATTATATAAAGCTATAAGTGCACTGTTAATAGGTTATCATGGTCATAAAAGTTTTTAATTTGAAGCGAATTTTTTAGTTCAGTATTCAAAGACGATTATATTTTGGTATTAGTATTTAGATAGACTTTGTTTTCGTTGTGTCATTGTTTATATTTAATGCAACACACGCCTACATTTTTAATTGGGCAAATATGCGCAAAATGGAAGCAGCAAAGGCATGACAAGGCCGTGCATTTTGAATATCGAAACACGCCATTGTTTACAAATTCAGAACATGCTTTTGAGTTTGATTACAAGTCAGCTTAATTAATTAAGTGTTTAATATTAGCCGTCGGCGAAAAGACTGACCAATCGCGATCCGGAATTGTGTACAATTGGTTCAGTAACAACACAAAAACGCTTGATAATAACCATTTTTTAATTATCAAGTGTCGTGTGAAATTTACGCAAGTAGTTAATGTTTACATAGAACACTTTTAACGGTTTATGCCGTGAAATATATTGGTTAACTTTTTTTAATGTAGCCATGATCAACGGAAGAATAGGAATTTGTGTTTTTTACTATTTCACACGCCTACTCGCCTAGTTTGCTCATATCGAGCAAAACGACCCAAAAACAAAATCGATTGTTATAAAGAAGTTGTTGGTTTTCACAGACAGTGTTTTTTACTCTTTAGCTACTACGGAACCCTAAAAATAATTTTCGTGATAAAGTTGCAAGTAATCGTTTATGTCTTGTCTAATCTAAAACTTAATCCTTTTTAAAGCAGTTTCTACTAATGTCTACATTTACTAATGTTTACTAGAATTTGATATCCTTTTACCATTAACTTTCTTTTAGATTTTTTTTTTCTCTTTTTAATTATTATATTTCTTTAAATTAATTATCACTTATTCATAGATAGGAAGATTCATAGTTGTATAATATATATTTGTACTGTCATAGTTACTTAAGTCTGAAATAGTTAATTACGCATAATTTTTGGTTATATATGAACTTAATGTAATGTTGTACGAATTTTAATAAATAAATAAATAAATAAATTAACTTAATTATCCCGTATTAACTTCTAAGCCAAATTAATATATATACCTACATTACTTAATAAAGGTTAGTATAAAACTCGCAAAACAATATAAAAATATCATTCGGGTTCGTTTGCTTGAACAGAACTTGTTAACTACCTACTAAAAAAGTGAAAATTTAAAATGTTGAAGCTTGTGGTTGGTACTTTTTAATATTTACGGTAAAATGTAGATAATCTATAAGTTTGGATGACTGTTTTCAGATTAAGTTTAGTATGTAAATCAAGTAACCGTATTTTTATAAGGAAATTTCCTTTCAGGTCATAACCGCTCTAATGTCTGTGGTAACAGAAGCCCAAGCTGGTTCCCTATTGGGTAGAGCATTGGGTTTCCATCACGGTTTTCCGTTTCAAGGCCCTAAAATAATTTTGAGTGATTTAGCTAAAATCAGGCAAGCAGGAAGCCACCAGTACAGCAATGGAGAAAAGGGTTTTGGGGAGAAGAATGTGCACAATTCAGGAAGACGAGAGTTTCACGATATTGGACAACATCATAGTAAAGTAACTCAGGTAAGTCGTTTTTTAATGAAAATCACAGTAAACACGGGGCTCCACTTGATGGTAGACCACTGTCGGTGACCAGGACGGAATTTCGCTTCTTCTACCTCCCATTTTACCAAACTATCCCCACAAAGTTCCACATGTTTCAGAAAAGTTATATATTGATTAGAAAAATGTTGGACCCGTTAGGAATCCTGGCCAGTTTCCGTTAATTAGTATCATTACTACAATTAAACCAACAAGCCCGTGAAAAAAATTAAGATATTATAAATTAAAAACGCTAAAGAAGCAAGCAGAAAAAGTATATATAAAGAGGGAAAAATAATTATATATCTTTTAAATAAAACACTTCAACGGTTTAAAACGCAATTAACTTATTTGAAAATGATTTTTAACTTCGGCCCAACGTTTCGGATGCTTTGCAGTAGTCGTGGTCAAGGGGAGACTAAAGATGGAGGATGTCTCTGACGTCAAAGTAAAAAATTGCTACGCTACGTTGAAGTTGGTATTTGGCGAAACTGGCCGGGTCCTTGCAGAATTGACTAACGGTGTCTTCGCTTTTGCGGTATGCTTTTATTGGGATCCAGAGTTTTTAATATGGGATACCAGGTTTTGGATAATTTGAGGCCTTTTTTTATTACAATTGCTTCGCGTACCAATCTTGGAAAAAATCGACTCACGTTTGCGAGGATTTTGGGCTGGTCAAAGCGAATGTAGTATTGGGCCCATCCGATGAGGGTTGGCAAACCGAAGATTTGCAGAGACGCTTATGTTTTATATCCGCGACGTGTTCTTTAATTCTGTTTGAGATGCTACGCTTTGTTTGGCCGATGTAGGATAGGCCACAATCACAATCCAGTCTGTAAACGCCTGCATCATGTAAAGCGGTAGTACACTTGACACTTGTTTGGTTTCAGGAATTGCTGAATCTTCTTGTTTGTGTTTAAACCGTCAAAGTGTTTTATTTAAATGTGTACTACTCGCGTAAACTATAGACAGTATTTAATTATCTATTTTCTTAGAAACAATACCACGATTAGACGAACGAGCCGATCTAAGTTGCCACTTACTATAACCAACCATCGAAGTATTTACTTATATTATTGTAAATACTGTTCAACAGATTACAACGTCTGAGAATTCTGAAAGCCACAATATCGGAGGTTCTGAGGAGTTCAACAATGGGGCTGTGTCAAGAGGAGCCTTCACGAGGCACAATAATGGTGCTAGCCGGTTCGGAAATGACTTTTCCCGAGGAGCAAGTGCCTTGGCGACTGCTTAGGCACAAAGCAACTTAAGATGGAATAAGGCTGATGTAAATTATATCATTTGTGAAGCTTAAAAAGAAATCAACACTAAACACGATAAGCTTATAACGATGTTACAATTGTATCGCATTTGAAAACGTTAATATTTTTCACATGAGGGCATTATAAGACATGGGCGGGACCGGCATTCAGTGTTTTGTGCTGTTCTAGCTATAGGTAGCTAATATGCAGCACCAAGCTCTCTAGTTAAAAAGCAGCACGGAACATTATGAACAGCAGACGCTGTGGCTGCCGGTTCAAGTTACGTCTGTGTTGTGAATAGTTAAACTCAATAGATTTTAAATTTATATAATTGTATAGCATACTAAATATTGCTTTTAATTAAACTAAAATTAAAATATATTAAATAATAAACGTTTGTATACGTGTGGTATCAAAAGGGAAAAAGTCTCCCTTAATGATAAGTAGGAGAATATGATTAAAATGTTAAATAAATATGTATTATATACGGTATAACACAAGGAAATCCTCTTTAGAAGGGTGACTCAATAAAGAATTTGGCTGTTAGTACAAAAACGAGATTTTTTTTAAACCGCCCGTATGTCTAATACAATTGTATTTCAGCGCCATTGTCATAGCTTCCACAATAGATATGCCGCGTATCAAACCGTTACAAATTTTATCAAGTTCCTTATGTTTACTACAGACAATACTGCTTAGATGATTGATTCTTATTCTTAGATTTATAATTGCAATTTAATAAAACTAAATGTATTTAATTATAAAAAAAAATTCGTGATCACGACTAATACATGTTCATAATAATCTATAGTCTTTAAAATTAATATCAACAATAACTTGTATTAAGTGTAGGCTTTTACATATCGAAAATCCGAAAGTATTGAACACAAGTGAAATAACGTCATAATAATTAAGATAGCCTGTCTACTACATATTGTGGTTTTGAACATTCGTAAATACTGAGATAATGTTGGAAAATGTCCAAGATTTCCCAAAGCGATAAACGTCGGATCGAACCCACGACGCGCTTTTTTCCAAAATTTGGCAGAAGCAAACAATATTATTTTGATGCTGACCCCTGGTTATTATAATGTTCTGTATAAAACACATTCTTGCATAACATGGAAAAGGGACAGCAATTTCATGAAGACGTGAAATATTTAACCACAAACATTGGGCTGTTTACAACAACTGCCCGCAAAGGGTTCTAAAATGTAAAATATATTTGTCAATTGTATGTATTTTCATTCTTCGACTTAGCTAACCCGAGAGTTTTCTGAACACTTTATTCGAGCATCATTGTTTTAAAAAATGTGGCCCCGTTATTATTGCCTAGAATTCGAACCTATGACTTTGTCACGTAAACAATAGTAGGATTTTATAGTTTACAGCCCAGACGTTTTAAAGGTTCAAAGCGTAGTTAATATACACATATTTCTATAAACCCAATAGAGGTAAAGAAAATAATATTTTTTCATGTTTTAACCGATTTAATATTTAATGTTATTTTTTGTTTAAATGAATAATGAAAATGATAGTGTTATTTCTTAAAAATTTGGTTAAAAATTTTCAACAATGTGTTTTAAGGAAGGTATATTTTTATATTTTTACTTATTTATACAGAGCAGCTTCAACCCACATTCTGTGTGAAGCAGCCTTAATAAGGAAATATATAAAAGTTGATATAAATTATATTTATCGTCATTTCTTCACAATAAACCATATCGTTATGAAGAGTATGGATAAAATTGTAAGTTTTTTTTTATTGCCTGTAGTTGGAGAACACATTTAATAATTAAATTTATTTTAACTACGGCCCGACATATCGCATGGTTTTTAACAGCTGTAGTCACAAGGACAAGATTTTTGTCAGCACCAATTCAAATTAAATAGAACAAATTCCGAAGTTTGGTTGATTACAGTTAGCCGGCTAAATTTCGCATTTAAATGAAACCTTGATCGTTTTGGATGCTTTGCAGTAGCCGAATGGGGGCCGTCGTAGATTAAAAATAAGTTAACAATTATATTTGTAAACCGTATTAGTATTTTTATTTAAATGCCTAAATTCTGTTTAACCAGAATGTGAGCATTGGCCTATGGCTACTAATTCATGACACTTCAGAGTATTATAATTATATTCTCCTAAATTTAATAAAACAGTTTACTAGTTTAAAACGCGATATATTTTAATAAACTTGTTTGAATTTTTTTACTACGGCCACTTAAAATATATCGTGTTTCGAACCGTAAAAGTGTTTTATTTAAATGTGTACTACTCGCGTAAACTACAGACAGTCTATTACTTTTCCTAATTTTCTATTAAAACCTTGAATTTCAGAGTCCTCTTGTTTTCCTCATCGTTGCTGTGCTGACTAGTGGCTATGGTAATTGTTTTTTATTCGCTTTTTGCTTTTGCTGAACCGTATCAAGACATTTGCTTAAAATTGCATTAGCCTTCGGAAGGTATAACGTAATAGACATACATTATATAAAAGTAATTACTGTTCCCGCGATATTTCCGCGTGGATACATATTTATTTACTAGACTAAACTTAGTAAACTTTAATTTACCAGCTAGTAACAATAATTAAATGACAGTCTAATAACGAGTATACATGCGCCAAAGTTCGTCTAACCTATATTGAGACAACGCCAAAGTAAGACAGTCTTATTGTATAGTTTAAACCCTTTTTTAATTCATTCTAGGCAACTCAATCAGACGCCTGCCCCGTTCGATTAGTCGGACCCATCGTTGGAAGAGCAAGAAGAATTCTTCGAATCCTAGTTTAAACCAATTTCAATATGTCGTTACGTATAGAAATTCTTCGAAAATTGTAACCTACAAATAAAGCCTTTGAAACGAACTGGTTTCATTTAATTAACTGAATTTTGATTTGTCATGGTGGACATGGTGTGCAGTCAACACATTCTAGTTTTGAATGTTCGCAAATTTACAGACTGTAACCGACACGTGACTAAACATCACGGCTTTTTATCTTTGGATGATGACCCGAGAGGAGTTACGATATCGTAGGTAGTAAGTATCTCCAACACAGTTAGTAACCAGATATACAGAAGTCCAACATGTTTAAAAAAAAATAATTAAATACTGTCTATAGTTTACGCGAGTAGTACACATCTAAACAAAACACTTTAACGGTATAATATAACGTACTGTCTCCCCGTGACACGGCTGCTGCAAAGCATCCAAAGCGGGCCGAAGTTAAATATTAGTTTTCTAAGTTTAACTAATATATCGCGTTTTAAACCGTTAAAGTGTTTTATTTAAATAAAAAATATATTACGAACATTTTGGACGCGGGGGGGACCGAATCTACGACTCATTGATTAATTCATTGCTAGCATTAGCCCCTATGGTTTTTTTTTAAATATATATGTGTATACTAATAGCTTTGATTGTAGCATTTTGTTTTATCTAGATTCTCTTATAATAAAAGTAGAAAATGAATACGGTCTGTAGTTTACGCGAGTAGTACACATTTAAATAAAACACTTAAACGGTTTAAACCGCTATACATATTAGTTAAATATATTTTAAAATTATTCTAACTACGGCCCGACGTTACAAAATGAACTAAAAGAATTTCAACCAGCTATTTTCCTAAAAACCATTCCACATGTTCCAAAAAGTTTTGCTCGTAATTATATTATATGTACTTTGGGGGACGAAATTTCCGTCCCCGAAGAAAACAGGAATAATTAACTTATTTGTTTGCCTGACAATTCGGGACTTTTCAAGAGACCAAGTGCTTCGAAGGCTCTTACTCAATAAAGGTGATTATTGTCAAGACGAAGAGATAAACGAGAAAATTAGTTTTTAATTATTTATTGGTTAAGCACGAGTTCCTAGATAGTGACTTGAATACAGTAATTTAAGGTCCATTACAATAACTAGATAACATATTAGATAAAAAAATGTCATGCACAGGTCTCGAATTTTGTACCAACAGGGTATATATAACTGTTCTTAATGGAGTGAGCTATAGTATTTTAAGTATTGTCTGTAGTTTACGCGAGTAGAATACATTTTAACAAAATTATTTAACGGTTTAGAACGCAAAATATAACAGACTTGACTATGACATTAGAGACACCCTCGATTCTTAGTCACCCCGTGCCTACTAATGCCTACTGCAAATCATCTGAAACATCGGGCTGTAGCTATACTGAATTGTTAATAAGTAAAAAAAAATTGCCGTTTTAAACCGTTGAAAATGGTTTGTTTAAATCCAAAATGTTCTAAATAAAATATTACACGTTTAGTATGAAAAGGAAACTATTTAAGCATTTTCTTGCGATAAGTTTCGAAAATCTACAAAAATCTTTTAATAAACTGTATAGCTTAGAATTCTCTTTTTTATTCCTATTAACATAGTTATAATGTATTCAAGAAGTGTATTGTTTAAATAACTATTGTTAAAATTATAACAATACATTTTAGCCGGGTCATGGGTCGCGGGTTCGATTTCGACCAGGTCCAACAACTTCCAATTTTTCAAATTATAATTTTTCTGCAACATGTTGGACTTCGTCTGGAAATCTGGATATTAAATAAGTTATAGGAATATAGAAATTCCGTCCGGGTCACCATCGACCGTCCACAGATAAAAAAGCTCAATCGCGTTTCGGTTTCAGTCTGTGGATTTCCGAATATCCAAAGCCAAAAAAGGTCGACAGCGCATCTTGTTCTGATGCTATAGGGGTATATCACCTACCATCAAGCTTGTCTGTCCTCCTCTATCATTGAAAATAATGTCAATCATCTGTTTAAAAATATTCGAATCAGTGCCTTCTAGTAACTTAGAGAATATAATATTGTAAATTCATTTTTATAAGCTCCTTTGAAGTCGCTAAGGGGACTTCTTAAAAATTTCTCCAAGGCGACTCATAATTCGCACCAAAGTCTCGCCACTCGTGTAATTGCTTATATAATGATAATAGAGTGTTTTCAAAAGGGAATCTTAAGACTGAAAATGTAGGTATTATGTTATTATAACAGTCAAAATTGTCGTTTTTTAATTTGTTAAGCAATAATTGTTAAATGCTGTCTGTAGATTACGCGAGCAGTACAATTTAAATATAACACTAACGGTTTAAAATGCGATATATATTAGTTAAACTTATTTGAAAATTGATGGTGGTCTCCCCGCAACGACTGCTGCAAAGCGTCCGAAATGTCGGGCCATAGTTAAAATAAGTTTTACTAATATATATTTTGCTTTAAACCGTTAAAGTGATTGAACTAAATAATAGTTGGATTTTTAATAGCTTACTGTGCACATACGTCAATAATATTATAACCTAAAGAGTTTGTGAAAACGCTATCAGGAACTATTAGTTCGAATTGACAAATTATTTTGTGTTGGATAGACCATTTATGGAGGAAGGTTTAAGGCTATATAACATCACGCCGCCAACAATAGGAAGGAAGAAACATTGGAAAAAGTGGAAGATTATTTGTCTTAGAGGGCATCTGTAAAGAAACCAAAAAAATATATTTGAAAGAATGATTTAACTTTAAACAGTCTAAAAAATGTCTTCGACATTATATATCAATTTTTCAAAATTAACTCGCAGCGAATCTTTTTATTGTATTGAATTACCAATTATTTCTTATAGTTGTATCAACACAATAATATTTATCTTGCAAACAACAAAACAACGTTCGCCGGAACAGCTGGTTTAAGATAAAAACAAGAGAAAATCAATTTACATTTCTCTGAAGTAATATTTATAATTTTCTTTTATTAATAAGCCGTATTTAATTTTACTTAAGTTTAAACATTATTGTGAAAGAGTGTTGTTTGTTATATCCTATCCTGTTGGATTCCTAGGTTTAAGATTGTATTAAAAACTAAATTTAAATAGGCGTATGTATGAGTGTGTGTGTGTGTGTGTGTGTATTTATACATGAGTTGTATTGTTAAATGTGCCACATTTTTCGTTTATAATAAAAAAGTCTGATAACTGAAAATACGGTAGGAATCGGTATCTCAATTGGTTAGAGCAACAGCACGGAACGCTGACGTTGCCGGTTCAAGTCCTGCCCGAGTCGAAATTATTTTCAATAGAAATATAAAAAAAAAAATTGTTTAACACTATAACATAAATTCACAAATAAATCGAAACGAGAACTATCTAATTAACGACAATTTAATTGTACCAGTACTCTCATAAAATAACGAAGCCGTTAACTAAGTTACTCGTAAATTAATGGCTATTTAATTCTCACATAATTGACCATCTTTAATGTTTAATTATTGATATCGATATAAAAACGCAACGTTTAGAGTCGAAAGCATTATTGCAGCGGTTTTGTGTGTGTCAACATGAAGTTGTTTGTAAGTATTTGTTTTTAGTAAATAAATAAATAAAGGTTTTTTGACATGCTTGTTGGTCTTATGGTAATCAATGGACTGCGGGTTCGATCCCCACTGGGTCCAACGTAACTTTTTAACTTATATTTTTTATGAAACACGGTGGCCTAGTTTAGTCTAGATATTAAACGGGTGGTAAAAATATCGAGACTTCCTCCGGGTCACGTACCGCCGTCCCACAAATGAGAAAGTCGTGATTTTAATCGAGTATCGATTACAACCTGCGGATTTCGAAATATCCGAAGCCAAAACAGTAGATGTCATATATCTGGGGTACTGCATCTTATCATCAGGTGAATCTCATGCTTGTGTCTTATCTCAATAAAAAAATAACGGTACTTTTGTCAAATATTTATATAAAATACTGTCCGTAGTTTACGCGAGTAGTACACTTTGAAATACTTAATACCACTTTAACCGTTTAAAACGCCATAATTAAAATCTATAAATATCGCGTTTTAAACCGTAAAGTGTTTTATTTATATTACATTTATAGTATTAGACTTAAACGTCCTTTTCAGATTCTAGCTGTTCTAGTGAGTGCGGTCACGCTAGACGCAAGCCCGCTTTTCGGCCTGCCAAACCCGTTTGGAGTAGCCAATGCGATTAACACTGGTTTCCAAGTCGGACAAAAAGTCATCGGAACTGGTGTTGGTTTGGGACTTGGCGCGGCCAACCGTGTTGGCGCGGGTATAGCCGGTGCTCTAGGTGGCGGTCTAGGCTTAGGTGGCGCTGCAAGAGGCAGTGGTTACATCAAAACCGGAAAGTTTGCCGGAAAGAATTTCAACGAAGGTGCTAGTGGAGCTGCTGGTCGGTCAGAGCATAATGTTGGCGGCAGCAGCTTCCACAACGTTGGACAACATCACACTAAAGTGACAAAGGTAAATGTCATAATTAAAATCGCTGAAAAATAAAAAAAATTCAGGACCTGAACCGGCATCCACGGCGTTCCGTGCTGTTTGCTTAAACAATTAATACGTGTAGATCACGGAGCTCAATTTATAATCGATATTTAATTTAATCTAAAAACCAAAGTGTAGCCGAATTTCGGTTGCCGCCCGTGGTTCCCGATATTTAACAAAATCAACTCAACAAATCTTTGTTGAGATAACTGGGCTTATCACTTTCAAATGGACCTAATTGTCTATCTCGTCTATTAAAAAATACCAAAATATTAGTTAAATATATTGCGTTTAAAGCGTTAAAACGAAATCTTCTTGTGGTCAAAGTTGCTGCAAAGGTTCCCCAACGTCCGGTTTTTTTTTTTTTTTTTTTTTTTTTTTTTTGTACGTTTAAAGCGTAAAAGTTGTATTTAAAAGGTTGTAAGTTTATAAAAGTATTCGTGTTCTGTCCAGGTTACCACGGTAGAAAGCGAGGGAAGCCATGATATCGGGGGCTCCAGTTTTCCACAACCAAGGAGCTCAAGCAAACAGCGGATATAACGCGAACCGGAATGGCGCGTCAGCTGTTGGTAACACCTTAAATGAGGCTGGACAAGGCAGTAACATTGGCTTAGGTGGACTGGGTGAAGCAGCGTCTCAAGGAAGCGGGTACCTAAATTCTGGAAACTTTGGCGGCCAAAACGCAGGCGCTAGTGCCAGCGGCGTCGCCGGCCAGTCGGCTCATAATGTTGGGGGTGGAGAATTCCACAATGTTGGTCAACACCATACCAAAGTAACCACGGTTAGTATAATTTAAAAGATAACTTCTCTATAAAATGTTAACTTATTTTTTAAAACAAAAATTATCACTGCCTATTTGGCAATTCGCTTCTTGTAGAGCAGTAGCTGTTTTAATAAGAAAACCATTTTACATATTGACAGTCAACATAATTATAAGTCGTTATTATTGTTATATTTTATTCCCTTCAATATGTGAAAAGGCTTTAGGAAGATTTTTTCCTGTGTAATACAATAATAGTTCCAGAACACACTTATAAAATTGTCAATCCTATGTATAGAAGTAATTGGGTCATATATAGGACTTTAAATTTAATATATGCTACGATAGAAAATGCGCCGTTCTTTGAGTTTGTTTCTGGTGCTTGAGTAATAACGAAGAATTTACTATAATTTTCAGGTTACCCAAAGCGAAGACGAAGGAAGCCACAATGTAGGCGGCTCTAGTTTCCACAACGCGGGTGCCCAAGCCCATCGGCAATTCAACAGAGGCCAGAACGCTGCTTCGGCTATTGGTAACACTCTAAATGAAGGTGCAGAAGGCAGCCAGATCGTTGGAAACGGTGAAGGTGTTGATGTGCCATTGGCAGAAGAAGCAGATGAAGTAGGCGTTGGTGGTGGTTTAGATGGTTCTGCCAGCATAGGGGCTGGAGCGTCCGGTGCTATCGGGGGAGGAATCGGTGGATCATTGAGCGTTGGAGGCGGCGCGTCTGGAGCGTTTGATGGTGCGGGCGCTATTGGTGCTGGATTAGCAGGAAGTGCTGCAGCTGCTGGTGCGGGCGCTATTGGAGCTGGAATAGCAGGTGCCGCAACTTTAGGCGCTGCTGCCGGTGCTATGGGAGCTGGAATAGCCGGTGGTGCCGCTCTAGGAGCCGGGGCAGCCGCTGCAGGTGCAGGGGCTGTTGGAGCCGGATTAGCTGGAGCTGCAGCTCTAGGAGCTGGCGCCGCAGGCGCTGTCGGAGCGGGAATCGCTGGTGGTGCGGCTCTAGGAGCCGGTGCAGCTGCTGCCGGTGCAGGGGCTATTGGAGCCGGGTTAGCTGGAGCTGCAGCGCTAGGAGCAGGCGCCACGGGCGCTGTCGGAGCAGGAATTGCTGGTGGTGCGGCTCTAGGACCGTAGCCCTGCCGGTGCAGGAGCTATTGGAGCCGGGTTAGGTGGAGCTGCAGCCTTAGGAGCTGGTGCCGCCGACGCTGTCGGAGCAGGAATCGCTGGTGGGGCAGCTGTAGGAGCTGGCGCCGCAGGCGCTGTCGGAGCTGGAATTGCCAGTGGTGCATCGTTAGAAGGATCAGGTGCTTTTGGCGCAGGAGTAACTGGTGCTGGTAGCCTTGGCGCTGGCTTAGCTACTGCCGGAGAAATCGATGGATCGATGGGCATAGGTGGAGACCTATCTGGTGCCGCCGGTGTAGGTGCAGATATTTCGGGTTCTGGTGGTATTGGAGCTAGCTTAGGTGGTGCCGGAGAAATTGGTGGATCAATGAGTGTAGGGGGGGATGCATCTGCAACTGGAGGATTTGGTGGTGAAGGCGAAATCAATGCTGGAGCAGGATTAGCCGGAGCTGCGGCTCTAGATGCTGGGGCAGCTGGCGCTGTTGGAGCTGGAATAGTTGGTGGTGCAGCACTAGGAGCTGGCGCCGCAGGCGCTGTCGGAGCGGGGGATCGCTGGGGGTGCGGCTCTAGGAGCCGGTGCAGCCGCTGCTGGTGCAGGAGCTGTTGGTGCTGGATTAGCTGGAGCAGCAGCACTTGGAGCTGGAGCCGCTGGTGCAATTGGAGCTGGAATAGCTGGAGGTGCCGCTTTAGGGGCAGGTGCTGCTGCTGCTGGTGCGGAGGCGATCGGAGCGGGTATAGCTGGAGGTGCCGCTTTAGGGGCAAGTGCTGCTGCTGCTGGTGCGGGAGCTGTTGGAGCTGGATTAGCTGGAGCAGCAGCACTTAGGAGCTGGAGCCGCAGGTGCAGTAGGAGCCGGGATAGCTGGCGGTGCAGCTTTAGGTGCTGACGCTGCTGCTGCTGGTGCGGGTGCAATTGGAGCTGGAATAGCTGGAGGTGCCGCTTTAGGGGCAGGTGCTGCTGCTGCTGCTGGTGCGGGTGCTGTTGGAGCTGGATTAGCTGGAGCAGCAGCATTAGGAGCCGGAGCCGCAGGTGCAGTCGGAGCCGGGATAGCTGGCGGTGCAGCTTTAGGTGCCGACGCTGCTGCTGCTGGTGCGGGTGCAATCGGAGCGGGTATAGCTGGAGCCGCACATGCATTTGGGGCTGGATTAGCTGAAGGTGCTGCCCTAGGAGCTGGAGCGGCCGGTTCTATTGGCGGAGCTTTGTCGGGTCGTGGCTCAGTGGGAGGCGGATTCGGATTTTCGGGTGGGGCGTCCGCGGGGGGGTAACATAGGCGTTTCAGCCGGTGCTTCGGGCAGAGCTGGCGGTAACGCATTCCTCGACGGAGTTGCCAACGGATTGGCAATAGACAGAAGCTTGTTGTAAATAATTCAGCAGTGAAATATTATACATACAAGAAATCATACTCTGTGGATTGAAAATAAAATTATTCTCAATTATTATCTATCTATACTATTATTTTAAACATCAACCCAACAAATGGTGAAACCAAAATTTTATGAAATTAGGTAGTTTCAAATAAGTTAAAATGAAAATCCCTATTTAATGTGTTGTATTGTATTTTAAATGTTTTACATTATAAGTTTCTCTACATATATCTATACAAAGGTTTTCTTTCGGGCATTTTTCGAAAAAGCCTTGGACGTCATATAAAATGGTTATTTTGCTATATTATCCACTGCCACAGACAAATTTAACTTTCTTACAAGTTAAATAAAACACTAAACTAAATTTATATCGCGTTTTAAGCCGTTAGAACGTCGTTTAATGTATACCACTCGCACCACTACAGACCGTATTAACCGTTCCATTTGGTAATGTATCGTGAAATTGTTTCAATGTAATACAATTCGGAAACCGATTTTAAACAAATAATGCAGATCCATTAATTTAATAATTGCAAAACCGTCGCCGTAATTGGAACCGCATATATTTTAAACAGACTAAGGGCCCAAGGACGACCACATTCGAGTTTTGCAAATGAAGCTGCTTATTTACTATAGGGTTTTCAACAAGCTATATAAGTACCGGCCCGTTGGTGTAATGGAAGCAATGTATGAATCAACGGGTCACGGGTTCGGTCCCCGCCGAGTCCAAAATTTTGAGTCAGTGTTAATAAGTAATTTACAAGTGTAATTTTTAGAAAACGTAGTACAAAAGTATAATAAAAAGAAAGTTAGCAATGCAGTCCTTAAGGGACTATTAAAGCGAAATATTATAAATGCATTTTGAAATAAAACACTTTTTAACAATTTAAAACGCGAAATATATTTATAAACTTATTTACAATTTGTTTTAACTAGCGCTCGCGGTTTTGGGTGGTTTGCAGAGGCCGTGGTCCTACGCCATATAAGTTGTTAATAAGTTAGCTAATATATGTCATGTTTTAAACCGTCAATAAAACCACTCACGTATTCTACAGACGATACATAAATTGACTAGTATCTGTAGCACTTTCGGAGATGAATAGTATACAAAAGGATAAAATTACTTTGTATGTTTTTTTTTTTTTTTTTATACGGTCATCACACAGTTCTTTTGCTTAATTAATATCGGTAAAAAAACTTTTAAGGTCGAAAGGAACGGCATTATTTTTTGTGCACTCAAAACTGTACAAAAAAAATAAATTACATCATCATCGTGTTTTACTAGTGTAGTCCTTTCATTGATACATATATTGAGGGGGTTAAGGAAAAATATTTAATCCGCCATTTTGTATCGGCGGCCATCTTAGTTTTATAATGTTATTGATTTCATTATTTTGTATTGTCATCTAAATTAAATGTGTGTACCAAATATCAGATCAATCTGACAACGGGAAGGTGCTTCAAATAATTTTGACCCAAATAAATGAATTCCGTACGGGTCGAGCTAAATAAAACAGTTTAAAAACAAGACTTCCAAAAGTGACAACCCTGTTATAACAATATTTTGTATTCCATACTAAACCACGTTGTCCTACTTACCAGCACCAAGATTGCACTTCTCCAAAATAAATGCACATTGCTTTAACTTTGATGAATAAAACATGAAAATGGTATAAGCACAGAGAGAACGCGACGGTAATAATATTCTTATGGGGAAAATGTTGAGGATTACCTCTACTAAAAGAGTATTAGACCCCCGCAAACAGTTTATGTTTTAATATCGGAAAAGCCGGGAAAGCTTTTTCCCGCTGTCGTTAGGATAGGATTTATAATACTAATAATACTTTCAAATGAAACACTTTAACGGTTTAAAACACGATATATATCAGTCAAACATTATTGAAAATATTTTAACTACGGCCCGACGTTTTCGGATGCTTAGCAGCATTTGTGGACACGGGGGGAGTTTTATATATATCGCGTTTTAAACCGTTACAGTGTTTTATTTAAATGTGTACTACTCGCGTAAATTATAGATAATATGTACATCAATTGTTGACCGTAACTAAAATAATTCGTAAATAAGGTTAATAATTCATTGCGAGTTTTAAACCGTTAAATATGTTAAATATTTATACATAATTCCTTAGTATGTAACACTCTGCGTCAATCCTTTATAACTAGCACCTACCAACCAATTCATGACATGAATAATATATTGCCACAGAATAACAAAAACAGTAGTACAAAGACTAAGTTCAAAATATCTATTCGATGACGCCACTCCGCAGTCGTAACTTATACAGTCTGTCGGCACTATGAATAATATTAGCTCCATATTTAACCGCAATCTGCCGCAATGGCGAACCTAGGTCTCTGAAGTCACGCAATCCTTCAACAAATAAAAGGAATAGAAGGTATTTTTGGTGAACAAACAGGCATGAAGTGAGAAAACGTTTAAAAGGAATTCGTGTTGGGGCATATAATGGAGGATTTCCTAAATTATTATTATTATGCAATGTCTGTAGTTTGAGAGAATAGACATTTAAATAATTAACGGTTTAAAACGTGAAATATATTAGTTGATTTTAAATAATGATTTACGCAAATACACATTTTAATTAAATACTTATAACGGTTTAAAACATGAAATATATTAGTTAAATTTATCTAACTACCGCCCGACGTTTCGGATGCTTGACAGCAGCTATGGTCACAGGGAGATCACGTGTCAAGTTTAACTAAGGTATATCGCGTTTAAAACCGTTAAAGTGTTTTATTTAAATGTGTACAACTCGCATAAACTACAGACGTGTTAATCCTTGACTTACATCGAAAAATGCAGACAATTTAACCATTAATATTTTATTCGTGATCGTTAATCTAGATACAGCTTACATAAGACTAAATAAACAAAAATAGGTGAAGGCGATCATAAGCCTATGAAACTTTTACGCTATTTATGGTTCAAGGTCGATTACAAGATGCGGACTCCTTGGTCTAGTCAAAGCTATATGATTCGGTATTTGTTATGCTAGAGAAGGATAAGGGGGGGTCATTTGATGAAAGGTGAAGTTCCCAAGCCATATAACATCTTCATTGGCTTCCAAAGACCGGACGGTGGTTCATGAGGACGCAAACTATACTAATATGAAGAGTTTGTTTGTTTGTTCGAACGCGGCAATCTCAGGAACTGGTGGTTCCGAGTGAAAAAATATTTTTGTGTTGCTAAGAGTATTTGTTCTCATACAACTATACTACGCGGACAAAGTCGCTGACACAGCTAGTTTCATATATACATAACCATCTAATATCCCGACTTTCGAAAGAACTCGACAAGTTCCAGAAAAAAATATAAGTTGATTAGAAACATTTTGGATCCTCTAGGGATCGAATCCACGACCCGTTGATTATTAGGCAAACGTTGTGTATTGCTAATTTTCTGTATTTTGTTGATTTCGTCTCATATATGGAGAATCAAGAAATTCATACAAAATAAATATGAAAATAAAATTATCAGACCTCAACACTAACAATTAACCCTGAAGCTGGAATAAATCTTCAATGACTCCACAATCGTCAGTCACTATCGAACTTAGACAACAGTCTTACAAAGTTTCGGCCCGCAATCTGCGGCCGGACGGACAAAAGACCAACTCCTTGACAGCTAATAGTCAGTTTTATCAAATTCTAGACTTGGAGTTGGCAACTTCGTTGTTCGCTTTGGCAGGCGCGCCGATGCTTGATTTGTGAGTGTCTTTTTCACTTTATAAGTGAAAATGTTCTCGTCGAAGTACTGATTTTTTTTAAATAATATAGGCAGACAGACGAACATACAGTTCACTTGCAAGGTAAAATACCTACAGCATATAAACAAGATGTGCTGTCGATTATTTTGGCTTTACTTAAACTTTTTCATCTGTGGACGGTCATTCGAGACCCGGATAAAATTTCGATATTCCTACTAACCATTTAATATTCGGATTTCCAGACGAAGTCCGACATGTTTAAGAAAAAAAATAAAATAATAAAAAAAATACATTTTTCCTCCAAAACACGAACTTTGATATTAGTACTTTCTTTAATTGCATCAACAAATCCGTCAAAATGAAAGTATGCTTGAATGTTTGATTCGATTGTTAGACGACAACAACGAACTAACGAACGAATAAAAAGCATTTATTTAAAAGTTGCACACAAGAACCATGAACTAAATCAACTTAACAACTTACACAAAATATAATTATAATATAGCTGAAAATTAAAACAATGGTAACATCTAAAACCAGAGCCTCTTGCAAACTGATTTTCAGTGACCCCAATCACCAGCAAGCCAGACAGCTTTTAGACTCCAGAGAAACAATATAAGTTAAAAACAAGAATACCTTAAGCATATATTATATACATACAACCTGACTTAATATTTAGTCATACTTATGAACGTCGAAGATAAAATCAAATTATATAAAATATAACAAAATAACTAAAATTTTCTTTCTTAACGCCTAACCTAATTACGCCTTCAAGTTTACTTATTCCATACATTTATTTTCTTTACGGTAATGTAAAATTAAAAAATTGTGAAAATTAAGTATTTATTTCTATTTTTGGGTTGGCCAAACATATTTTATTTTCTATATAAATTCTCAATAAAAATTATTTAGTACTTTATTATTACATATTTTATTATAAATTCGTAAAAAAAATGTTTTTCTGTCCGTTCATCGTGATTCTACAGTGTTAAAAAAAGAAACTTAACCGAGAACAACACCCAAGACACTCAGTCTGGATTTTTTCAAATGTCACACAAACTAATACATTTTTGTGAATTTAATGACCTAAGGAACAACTCATACTCACTGCCAAACAGCCCTGTCATTAAAGAAATCGTTCAAACAATA